TCAGTGCGTCAGTATGTCTGTTAGTGCATGTGTATGTATGTGTCAGTATATCTGTCTGTGCGCCAGTATGTCTGCTGTGTGTGTGTGTCAGTATATCAGTCTGTGTGTGTCAGTGTATGTGCCTGTGTGTGTTTGTCAGTATTTCTCAGTGTATGTGGGTGTCAGTATATCTGTCAGTGTATGTGTGTCAGTATGTTGATCAGTGTATGTGTCTGTGTGTGTGTGTGTCAGTATGTCGGTACATGTGTCTGTGTGTCAGTATGAAACCGTGTGTGGTTCCCTTATTTACCACTATAATGTCTTAAAGCATAGAACTTAGTAGGGCTAACCATACAGATATCTTAGCCATAATTTTATATAGTGTAAGAGATCCTCTATTTAACATATATAAATAATTGAGAATACAATATAAAATAAGGATTGTCTTGGAAGCAAGATTGTCTTTTGGATATTTATTATATAAAAATATAAAATCCATTATAGCAGAGTTTATAAGATTATATTACATGCTTGCAAATATCATTAATAGGTTAACATACCCTTCTGAACATGTCATCATGTCAGCCTCTCTGTCATTTTAAGATGGAGCAGCGTCTGTCTCCAAGTCTCTCCTCTGTGTCTTAACATTTAAAAGTACACCTATTTATACCTCAGATGTCTCCATTTTAGGTTACTGTAGTTCAAATATGAAAAAGTAACACTTCTTTTACTTTATTCAATTTAGGACCTCCCTTAATTTGGCAAACATACAAGGCCATAACTAAAGGGTGCATACGTCATGGAAATTTTCCTGACTTAGTTCAAGATGGCATCTTAAAGTCTGAATAGGTTATATGTTGTTTATACTAAGTCGTAAGTGTACAGTCGTGGGAGATTCCCGGATTTGGGGAAGTTCCATTAACTTGGGGTTACCACAGTATATTGTGTACTGCAAGAGTCGTAGCATAGCCTTGAAGCTTGTTTATGCATTATTGTTATTGTAATTCGTCTGGGACAAAATGGCGCAAACATATTATGCACTGAGGTTATTGCTTAAAGAAACAGTTATGAAAAACAATATGTTCCATTTCTAACACCTTGTCAGTTTGCAATATCTCTTAAAGACAAAGTACACAGTTTAAGAAATACAACATTTCATTCTAAAACTTGTAATATTTGCATTTGCCCATAACACCCTCTCCATTAAACTGTGGGCATTGTAGCGCATTTCTTCCTTAAATTAGTAAACCAAAGTTCTCCAACAGTCTTTTGTTTTTTTTTGTGCTCCCAGCATCTTTGATCATTGTTGTAACAGTAAAATATCCATAGTGTGATCTTTGCATGTAAAGGTGGTTGATTAAAATGAGCAAAGCTTTTGTCTGGGAAAGAACTGAAAAGAACACCAGGTTCCAGAGTAAGATATTCTTGGATAGATCCGGATATGAATTGTAATCCAAAATTAAAAATAGTAATTGTATTTGTAATCCAAAGTCTTAAAGGCCTGTAGAAGTTTACATTCCTTAGATACATTGCTGGAGGTTGTGTTTGTAGAATACCCGGGTATTTGTTATAGAGTATAGGTTGTAGAGTCCAGCTTTCCAAATATTTGGCTAGAATTGGTTGCGGATATTGATCAGCATCATCTGTTATCACTGTGGTGATGGCGTTGGTACTTGTCTTTGTCTTTTTTTTATTTTGTTTTTTTCATGAAACATTTTTTTACACCATTTATGATGTGTATAGATTGGATACTCTCCGATATTCTTTTACGGAATAAATTAATTGACAGCATTTCCAAGACATTGTCTTAAGTGACATGGATCCCATTACAGTAAATGTTATGTTGATACAGCAATTGAAGTGGATTCTCAAGAACGCCTCTTTTTGCTGTATTGGAATCTTTGTAACATCTCAGTGATAGACATCTCAATGACATCAGGTGCTGTTGTGCTAAAAATGTTCACAGGTCAAATCTGTGGAAAAATCTTTTCATTTGTTATAGTTTGTATAATAATGATAGATGAAATAGTAACATAGTTAATCTTTCTAGTGTTTTGTTTTAAAGATAAACACCCTTGTATATGATTTAGATATATAAGGATAATTTGAAGCAGCAAAATATTTACCACCTTTGTTCACAATGGTATGTAAAATTACATTCTCTTTAAATGTTAAAAACTCCTTTATTCAAAATCTCTCAATATATTTAGAATAGTTGATAATTGGAAATATGACGTTAATTATCTTTCTTTGTCCTGTTAGGGAGAAGACAACTTATTCCCTAAGTTATAATTAGTAAATATAATAACTACAGTTATTAGTGGCTTAAAATACCAGAAACACCCAAAAATTGTCTTAGAAAACATTTTTTATTTTTTTTATTTTTTTTAACCAAGATCTGACAGCCATTGTGGAAAGCTACATTCGTGAGATTGGATGCTTAACAATGTGAATCTTAATTGTTTAAGTATATTTTTCAGTGGCTGTTGGATGTAGCTTAAGATGATTAGAATTTGTATTATTATTTCTAAAAGTGAGTTAAGAAAGCACTCAGATACAATATTGAATGTATTTATATTTTAACTCTACCTTTGTATAGGTGGTTTATGTACCTTTAACCATTACAAACCAAATTACATTTTCTTTGTATTTGAAAAACTGATAAAATATTTGATTACGTGTATTTTAATATATATACATAGAGTGGTATGGATGTTGAATTTATATCTTTGACATCTTTTCACCAGTTTGCAATAGGTGACCTAAATGATCAATTTCCAAATTCATCATGTATATCACCTGGATGGGTTAATCCCTAATACTCTTTTACTTTCCATTGACTGGCCTTGGCTCTGGCAGACTGAATATTTTTATCATTATAAATAAACTTTATGATAGTTGAAGTAAAGTTTCTGCCTGTTTTAACTGTTTTTAACTGTTGAAGTATTTCACTTATATTAATTATACCACTCTGCAAACTTAAACGAATATCGAGTAGTTTCTGTTTTAATAAGAACATTTATATTTTCTTCTAAAGTTTAAACCTTATTCATTATTGCAGTTGTTATTGCAATCATATGATCTTTAACTATCATGATTCAATTATTCATCTTGGTAATTAGCTGTTATGCTCTTATACGTAAGTTTAATATATTTGTTTGTAGGCCAGACTGCAGCTGCATATGGCATTTTAGCAATAATCTTCAATTGCGTTTCAGATATTCACAAAGTCTATCCACCTTTGTAATTAACACATTATGTGTTTCTTATACCATTAATTATAGTATCTGTATTATATTACACATTGTCACTGACACATTTCTGATACAGGGAAAAAAATGGCATGATTGCTTTAGTAATTATAATTTTTCTGTCCATGCACCACATTCCTGGAAGTCCAGAATATAGCAATAATCCGTTGTCGTTTGATTCTATGGAGCCATTTAACGTTTTCATTGGTATAGTTATACCAAAAGAGCAAGGAGTACATTGGTAGATCACATCTGCAACAGAACCATTACAGATTCCTTGTTGTATCAATGTCTCTGTGTTTATGTATACAGGAGTTCCTTGCTTTGCAGGTATGTACATAATATGTAGAGTTTAAGAAAAGCTGCAAATCGTGCTTTAGTACAAGTGTCCCGTGATGTCAGGTTTCTGACAGGTTTTGCTTGCCTTTTATATTCCATTCTCTTGGCAGGGCATCTGCTCTTAGTAGGCCGGTGTTATTATTTATTAATTGCATCAAGGTTTCTTTCGTTAATTGATGTGTTTTTTCCGAATTCAAATTCATATGCCACCAAATGTCATTGTAAAGTTCATTGTTACAGAATATTGTTCCAGGATGGTTTTTCTCTCCAGTAGGAAAGCTATGTTCCTCTTCTTCTGCTCCTTCCTATTAACCACTTTTTCTGAGTTGTAGTTAACAATCTGTGTCTTGTACTGTGAGGTGCTTTGATAGTCAATCTGGTTTTGTCAGTACCATGTTCCATCTTGAAAAACAGCTGGGTGTTGACAGTTATCAGCTTTTATTTATTTTTCCGGTCATCTTCTGTCTGGATAATAGCAATGTCCAGAATTAGCATAGCACTTCTTTTCAGCATAAAGAAGGCTGTTTGCGCTAGTCATTCAATGATAAACTATACGGCAAAGTCTTTTCTTAATCACCTTCATAGGTGCATCCAAAGTCTTTCACAAGCATCTATCTTGTCTTTTTCTGTTTTCAGCATGCTTTGCCATCATCGTTGAGTCCATTATTAGGATTTGAAATAGTTCAATCACATCTTTCTCACGTATAATCGGTTTTTGGAATGATCTCAATAGGTTCCTTGTGAAATACCAGTGTAGGTCACATTAGCAATCATTTCACTGTGAGCTGTGTCTCTCCTTTTGAGATAGTTCTTGGAGGTAGTCCTCACGATCAAAGAACTTGTATAGTGTGCAGTCCAATTCATTTCAGGTGCTTCCTGCTTGTTAACATAATCCCAATGCAGTTTTAAAACGACAGCTAGGGTTGATGTTATGATAATGCTGCAGACTGTAAGAAGGAGACACCATAACCAATTTTCTAGCATCATTTTGCTTCCATCTTTGCATTTCTTTCTTACTGTATAAGATAATTCAGGTTCAGTCTGTTTTCTCCAGAGTCTTTCTTATAATGATGTTGATGATTCATTTTTCATACATTCCATGTTAACTGTGAATGTATCACGTCTGTCTGTTCATCCTTCTCCTTCACATTTGCAGGTTCAGATGTCAGATCATGATTCAGTCTGTTATGTGGCTATGATTCTGGTGGCATTTCTGTCGTCCTCTGTTTATCTTGTCATCTTTAACAGTATCCATTGTATCAGTCAGTGGTTCTGTGAACGTCCTGTTAATATTTAGCAGGTTGTAAAATATCAAAACTTACTGTTCTCTGTTGGGTCTGATTGTTCTCTGTAGTAAAAGTTCTTGGTATCACCCTCGCCAGGACAAACTGGCCAACAGAAGGAAATAGGTGGTGGTGCATTATTGTTATCGTATTGTAACCGCTGGTGGTGCAAGGCGAGGTGGACTGGAAAAAAAAAAATTCCCTAAATTTCTCTAATAGAACCAATGGTTCTAAGCTCTCCCTGGTGCAGAAATATATTTGTCAGTGAAAAACATGTAACATTTCATATGGTGTCTCACCATTTGTATCATCAGGTATGTTGTGAATGCTTATCTGTACCATAGGAATAAATAGATTCCACTGTGTGGGGCAAGCAACTAGTAACTTGGTTAATAATCATTTAACCTCAGCATTCTCCCAGACCACAACCCCACTTCTTTGGGGGTGGTTGGGGCACTGAAATCCCAAAGTAACCCAAATGTGGTTGCCCAGTTTTAGGTTTCCTTTGCAGTAACTGCAGGACCACCATCCAAATGGATGGTCCTGGGATTATCAAATGCATACTAAGGAAGTGAGACTAGAAAACATGGCATCAGAGGTTGCACTTCGCACAGGATATATCCAAGTAAACATGGTACATGCATCAACACATACAAAAACATATTTATAACCATGAGATGTTGGCAAACTTTCAATATATAGTAATTCAAAAGTATGTTGGATATTAATATTTCAATAAACAGTACATCAGTAATGTGGCAATAAGCAAATGCTTATGATTACTAAACACATGAATTACAGTATTTCCCATATTGTGACCACCAATATTCCTTTTCAGGAGTCAAAAGTACATTACCTCTCTCTATAAGAGCTTGTCCTAGCCATGAAAAAGCTTTTAGGGCAAGTCCATCTTTCCTCTGTAGGAAGAACAACCAACGTATTACCTTCAATGGTTATTATGTAATTAACCCCTCTAAACGATAGGAGTATTTATGCGGATACCAGGTGGATAAGGTCTGGATATCCTTGCAAGCATAAACTCTGCATCATGACTGAGAGATAGGGTATGCGATGTGATCCAGTGACCACAGAAAAGCGTTGGTAGACACATTGCATCAAAGTGCCTGTTAACGACATGAGGAGAGGGACCATGCTTTGTTATAAGCATGTCCATACACATATTACAATGCCAGGCTTTCAATTTGTTTCCACAAAGCAAAATGCAGTTGTGGATATAAACTCACGACGTATCGTAAGAAAAACTGTTTGAACACCAGACTGAGATTCGAGATCAGTGAACAGTGGACCAAAATAGATAAATGAAATTCTATCAATTAATATATTAATATACTTTCAATATATTTTCTTTAAATTACTTTATTCTCCGTATTAACTATGAAATATTAAAGTTAAAACAATAACATTTAAAAGCCAACTTTTAGTGTGGATTGGAATTACAAGGCCGTTCATAATGTGAGATAAAGAAGCTTTTTTTTAAAATCCGAATAGTCTGTGAACACAAGATGACCTTGCACTGAAAACTCACTTGCAGGGGAAAACCAAAACCTTCTTTTTTTCTTTTCCTTTAGTAAATTAATTAATTAATTAAATGTAGTTAGAACCTCCCTCAAAGTCCCGATGACTTTGCAAGAAACATGTCGTCCTTAAATACTGGGTAAGTCTATTAAACAGTGAAATAGCATTTTGACACTGTATATCATGTTGTCACAGCTATAATGTGCAGTATAACAAACTATTTTATAAGTGTTGTGCAATCTGTTCATTAAAAGCCAGTGGTCTAGCGAGCTATAGAATATTTATTCTTTAAATCTCTGACCTCAATCGGCAAAGCAATATTGTAATGGTGTCCATTGCAATCTGCTGTCTTACTTGCTGCTCTTAAAAATTCTGAATATGTTCAGAGATTTCTTGGGCAATAATAAATCCCCCAAAACAACAACTTTGCATTTATGCTAAACCTGCCTGTTGTAAACGTATTCTGTATATTTCTTGACATAAGTACTTGTACTTAAATCTGTTTAACAAAGCTGTTTATATTGTGGTGTAAAATAAATTTTTTATTATTATTATTTATTTTATTTTTTTATTTTTTTAACATTGCTTAATTTTTAAAGATACCTGCATATTTAATTAACTATCCTGTATATGTCTTTACTGCATAAAATATCTGCAAATTAAGATTATATACAAAAATGCATGTTCTGGTCTGTGATTCCTTTTCTATCATTTATTTATTTTAAGTCTGGAATCTGATTTCTTTTGGGATGAGCACCCCTCTGAGCCCCCCAGTTTCAGAGGCTTCTTTAGAAGTGACCACTGAAAAGTATAGATTCTATAAAATAGATGTGAGGGGGCATTGGGCAGTAAAGTCACCTTAATTATACTTTTCATATAGCAGATATGTGATATGCAATGTGATTTAATATATCAGAGTATTATCACTTTAATTGACACTACATTTTTTTATGCATTATTCTTTATGCATTCTTCTTCTTCTTTTCTTAAATTTTAATGTCTGTTTAGAATATTGCAGCCTTGCAATATCAAATTAATTTTGCATTATATGTGCTTTTACAACATATTAAAATTAGCCTCTTTCAGAATTGTAGAATATGTGGTGGAACTGAATCCTCATATATGAGATTTGAAACTGTATTTTTATATCTACTCTGTGCCCTAATCTGTATTTATATACATAATTGCGGCAGCATATAGCTTTTAAAGAAGCAATTATTACACCCATCATGTGTGGTGATTGCGGACTTTTTAAAACCTACTTTTTATTTTCTATAAATCTGTTTCTGGCTTTGAGAGAGCAGGCTGCTGAATGCATGTAAATGCTCTTAATGCTTAGTCTCTATACATTTATTTATTTAATCGTATTTTATAAAAACCTAGTTTATGAAATTCACTGAGATTACATGTGTCTGATCTGATTACAGTCAGTAGTACAATATAATTGTTCTAATTTCTTTACTGCTAGTACGGTGGGATAGTACCACTGATTTAAGTAAGCTTTCCCTTTTAAAATTGGTGGACTTTACTGCCATTGCAATAGACTAAAGACTGTACCTGAGTAAGCAAAGTCATTATGTGCAGGAATTGTGCACTTTAAATAGTAGAATACTTATGCTATTCTAGTGAATTGGGCTGGCTAATTAACACATCATTTAGTATCTTTTGGTCACAGTTAAAGCTGTAAATGTATTTAACATTTTATTTAAATAAGCCTTTAATAATTTCAGTTTAAAAGTTATCAGAGATCCTGTATAGTTACAATTTTATTTTGCCCCGCTTTATCTTACGTATATATTATTTGTAATCATTTTATCAATATTTATTTATGCAGAGAATTTAGAGAAGCAAAGGATGTATAACCACCTGTTGCCCTTTTTTCTAGGAGGGTAGTATAATTTCAACTCTGTTTAGGAAAAAATATTTGCTAGTTGGCATATAGTACATAAAATACATGCTGCAGTGTACTGCATTGAATGCATTTAAAAGCCATGTATTTTTCTTTATGGCTGTATGTAATAATGTTGTTCATAATTTGGAATATAAAACAACGACTTCTCAATTCCTTGGAATGTTTACATGTCTCTATCTCCGCAACCTTGGCTGGAAATTCCAGACTCCAAAAATAGTAATGCTGTTATAATTCCTGATTTTCAATCAACAGCTAGCGTAACTGACAATATGGAAATATCACTGTTTTATAAAACTTTTCTTATATAGTGGACATTAGAATCCAGAACGCAGTAATGCAATAATTAAAAATCCTGTCTGTCTGTTGCATGAATGTTTTCATTAAGCCATAATGCAATTTTCTTTGCATTCTTGGAATTAGACTTCAAATTTCATCGCTCTGTCTTATCACTTTTTTTTGACAACATTTTGCATTAATCTTTTTCCTGCGCATGCATACTAAGCAGCTACAAAGAGAACATATCCCCCTGTCTGCAATCCACTGTCCTGGAACTAACGGGCCATGCTGTGCTGGTGTATTAGGCATATTCGGGAGTTTACCAAATATGTATATTTGTTCTATTATTATGTTAGTTAAGATCCACAATTTCAGCATTTTATGCTAATTACGTTGTACCTGGCACCTGAACTCACAGTGCTTTGTTCACATTAAAATCATCTCTAATGATGATCTCTCTCTGAGTCTGGGCTACAAGTAGCTCAATAGATTCTTGATATTTCAAGACTTGTGCCATGACAAAGTATTGTGTCTTCTCTTACGTATAAGAGGTTACCTAGGTATTTATTTTATATTTAAAGCTTCCAAGTACAAAGTCCCTTCGTGGTCGCCAATTGTA